CATTTTTTTCAATGAATTAAAGAATCAATATAGCAAAATCTGGATGGATTTTTAAGCTCTGTATACCATTAGGTAATATATTTTAAAGTAGTTGTGTGTCTTGCTGACCCATGAAAAACTAAACATATAAGAAGTGTATTTTTTAAGTAAAATTTAAAGATTTTCTAGAGTTACTTGAAAAAAAATAACTCTACCATACTCATGTGAGGAAAGAGTTATATATACAATAAACTTTTATCATTTGTGACAGTTACATTTCATATAGTCTTTGAGAAAATTCAATCAGCTAAGACTAACCCATTTCTCATAGGAGAAGTAGAATTGGGTCCAGTCATCCTGGTCACAACATTGATTTAATCAATTCACAAGTATATGTCTGTTTAAAGACACATTATTTAATATGTATTTTTTATCTATTAACATTGAACTCCTGGAAACAGGCCTGTATGTAACTCATTCCTACATGGAGCTCATCTAGAATATGGATTTTCCCTTTTATCAGAACCTGCTGTGCTTACAAACACTAGACAGCACCTCAGAATGATGCTTAGGGCAATTTCAAACAGTGAAGCCACCAACACAAAGCACAAAAAATGTAAGAAACATGGCTAAGGACACCATGAAAAAGGCACTTGTTTGCAGTAAGAGAGCTGAAACAAAACCGTGGAGCACAGCTTTGTTGGGTCTCAGCTGGAAACATGTGGGTGCTGGTTGACTCCAATGGCTCTTGGTTGCAAAAAACTGCAGAAGAGTAGATGAATTTGCAAGTATAGAATTCACACATAACGAGGATCAACTGTGTTCCACAGTGTATCCTTTAGTTTACATCCTTTTGAGATCTGAGTTGGGACTCTTTGAATCCCAGGTTCAGCATGTGGTTGACCAGGGGATTTGCAGTTCAGATGAGCCATCGCTGAAACCAAGTCCAAAGGCTTTGGAGAAGTTTGATTTGAGATCTATTGAGTTTAATTATATTTTTTAAATGGCTTTTATGTTAGATATGCTAATTTTTAAAAATTTGTTTTTAATGTACTTTATAAAGTTTCTTAGTGGGTAGGAGGTTGTTTTGTTGTTGTTGTTGTTGTTTTTTTAAAGACACTTTTCTAAGTTTTCCCTAGACAGGTGGAGAGGCATGGCTTTGGGTGGTCATTTACCTGCCCCATGGGTCCAGAACATAGAGCAAATAAGGCAGCCGATACCCTGTATCAAGTCCCTCATCGTCCATCCTCAGGTATTCCTCATCCCAAGTCTGTGCCTGAGAAATGAGGACTTAACCCTATTGGCACTATTCTGCACTAAGAGCTATCCGAGGAGTGAGGGAATGCCTGGTCTTCCTTAGGAAGATAGAACTGGTAGTGCATGAGGAATCAAATGTTTCTCTAGTTTGGTTTCAGTGACCAGACAAAATATTCTCTGGCTCTACTAAAAATTTTAAACGCAAACATTCTGTATATCTTGCCCTAAACATAGGGCGACATCCCAAGAATGGTCTCAGATTTGCTTCTTTACCTCTAGAGTGAAATAATTACAAAATTTCTCTCTATATATATTTAGAATAAATTTTATTTAAATATATGTATATGTAATAAATATATAAATATTAATGTAAATATATATGTATTGTGTAAACATCTATAATAAAATTAATTATAAAAAGTTCTTATAAATGTATACATATGTGTATATATATATATATACATAATACATGTGTACATAATAAATAAATATATGTATATATGACACATGTATTTTATGTATATTTATATTACATATACATCTTTATAATAAAATAACTATAATATATTGACTATAAAATTAATGCATATATAATTAATAATTATTCACAAACCCACTTTCATCTCACAAGCACTAGTATTCATTTACTTACAAACATTTAATGACTACCTTCCATGTTTTAGGAATTGTTTAATACTTACTGCTGAATCATTTGTTAATCAATTTTCTTTAAAGCTGCTTTTAAAATTGAAAAAAAATTAGTGTCTATCAAGGACTGTAGTCAAGAGAAAAAGATATAAATATTGGAAAACAGATAATCTGTGCAGCACCTGGAGATAGAAAAAGAAAAAAAACTTAATAAATGATTAGATCAGACACACCTGAGAAGTTCTACTAGATAGGTGACATTATCAATCTATGCGCCACGTTGTCAGAAATCAGTTAAGGATTGGGAGAATGTAGTTAGGAGAGAACATTGCTCCTCTGTTTGAAGAGTTGAAGCAAACATGTGACCTAAGCATCTTGGTTAAGGGCCCAGCTCCATATGTTCATTTGGGAGTCAGCTTCTGAGGGGCCACCATGTTGTGCGCGTACCTTTGAGACGGGTGGTCTCCTCAGTTGCCATTGCAGACTGAGACACTGCAGGATGAGTCTTTTCGCTCATGGAGCTGAAGGTGCCATAAGGTTGTTACAGGTTAGTCACAATGTGGCCCCTTTAAGTGTCAGGGGCCAGGAAACACGGAGAGCGGCTGGAACGCTTAAAGAAGTGTCTGTTTGATGTCAAAAGAGTGGTGATGGGGCTTAGATCTGTGTATAACCTGAACATGCTTTTCAGCCAGTACTTAGATCAGTGTGTGCCTGCAGCTTGCTTGCAGATGGTGGGTAAGTATGGATGCCTTTTTGTTTACGCCCATTATTTACTCAATAAAATACATTGATTGGTATTCTAACATGTGCTTGGAACCCTACACAACAATAGAAGTGTTTCAGGCATGGGAAAACCAGGAAGGGGAAATCAAGTGCACAATATTATGGTCAATGTAAAGCCTCAATTTCCTAAAAGAAAAAGAAAAAGAAAAAAGATATCTTCATATGTTTCACTCATTGCAATGATGAGGATGCTTTTGTTAGGAAAAAAAGATACCAATAAGTTTTACTGAAGAATCATTTGAAAATCAATGATATTTTACAGAAAAATCACTTCATGCCCATCAATAAGTTGATTTCAAGGTCTATAGTACAAAAGATTATAGAATTTTAGATTCTTGATTACCAGCCTCTTTGACATTTAAACCGAATACAATATAAGGAGAGTCATTCTTAGCAATTGACCCCATTTGTGATAAATATACTCTAATATCCTTGATGTTGAAGTATTTAAATCATCTAATTCTAATCTTGAAATGAATTTGCTAATTTATAATATATGCATATATTGGAGATTTGGATTGTTTATGAAGAAATCAATGGTGACAAAAGTCAGTTACTCAAAGCATAAACTATGATTGTTTATTAATTTTACGAGAGGCCTGTTGCATGAAGAGATTCGTGCAATAGGCCTTCCTTCCCTTGGCTTCCAGTTTGTTTTCCTCCGGCACCCGGGACCCAGGCCTTCTCTCGGGCCAGAGTCTGCTATCTTCATCTTTGCTGCAGACTTTGGCTGGAGTCTGCCATCTTCATCTTTGATGCTTTGCTGCAGACTCCAGCTGGAGTCTACCATCTTTGTCTTTGCTGCAGACTCCAGGTCTGCAGTCTTTCTTGGCTGTGCCACTCGGGTCCTGTAGATCCCTTTGCCCCCTACCCTCCCTCTCATAGCAGGCCTCCTGCCCCACCTGGCCACTCCTGCCTGGAGCATCTGGGCAGCTGCCATCTTTGGCCTTCTAATTTGCATACTTACTTTGATTGGCTGTGGGTGTGGAGGAGGTATGGTCAATTTACATGTTTATCTATTATTAGGTAAGATTGTAGTAATATGTTATCATAGTAAATACAGGAAATATAAAATTATATATAAAACATCATAGTAAAGGAAATGTAAAAATGAAGAAATGCTTTATAGTAGCATGGATCAAAAGAGTTTGAATAATGAAATCTTATTAAAGCATCTATAATAAGTTCTGAACAAGCCCTGAAAGAGAATTACCCTTTGGAAAAATGCCACTTCATTCATACTAAATGCATGTTTTTTACTTTAATTTAAAGTATGCTCTGTAAATATTTGACAGTGAAGTCTAAATCATTGAAGGAAATTACTGTAGTGTTGCTTGAGCCTTTGACATTTATTTCTCTTGTGAAACACGTTTGTTTCCATTGTTTAATATTTAAGATACACTGCAGATTAAAAGTCTAAAGATAGATGAGAATTAACTGATAAAAAATAAAACTGCCTGTGGCCTTTGGGGAAAAGAATTTATATTCAGTATCTATTTTAATTCTCTTATTTTTCTAAGAGCATTTAATATGTTGAACCACAAAAATGTTTAGAAATAAACTCCAAGTATATGGCTATAGATAGATTATATATAAGAATGTAGAATTAATTATTTTGGCTATCAGATAATGATTCATTTTTTTTTTTAAATTTATGCCTTTTTTCCTACATATTGGCTAATAAGAAATTCCCAATACCCTATCTTACCCTAGCAAACTCCTTTAAGCCTAGGGTAGGACTACCTTTATGGCAACTAGAAAAGACACATATAGCTGCTAGGCCATGTGCCTTGGAAAATTAACCCACATGGAACTATTTATGAGTTTCATGCATGATAATGACATTTTTTAATTCAAATTCTGCCAAGGTTGGAATGGACTTGCTGGGTAGCTTGTCCCTGATGTGTGGGATATCACCAGGAGTGACTGAGGTTGGAGGTTTCCACTTGCTGGTTTCCTCACTCACAGATCTGGTTCCTCATGACTCCTGGGTTCCTTGCCCTCTCCTCATTCAGGCTCAACCTCCATGGCTGAGGCTCCTTACCACTTGGTTTTTCTAGCCCAGACACACTGTTACAGATGCCAGATGGCTTTCAAAAATCAGGAGCAGTTCTCAGTCCAGTTAATGGTTGTAGTAGGACTAAGACCCCTTCATTCCCCCACATGCTGTTGGTCAGAGCAGCCAGAGGGTCTGCCAAGTTCCCAGGAGATGGACACATCAGCTCCTCCCCTTAATGGTGGAGGGGAAAGCAAGGTCACATTGCACAATATATGGGATGGGAGAACATTATTGTGGCAGACTTTGTGAAATAATGTCTGCCAAAATTCTTAACCTAGAAAACTAGTATTTTAGAAACGGACATTCTCTATAACGTCAAATAATCTTTTTTGAGAAGCAAAGATGTGGTTATGAATACCATTTAATAAAACTTGAATAACTACTATTTACATTTTTCACTGTAACTTGTGCCTGAAGAAATGTGTACTTGTTATTGGAAATTCTAGAAATAGGTTTTAAATTATGATTAGCAAACAAAGGGTAAAATATTCACATATGCATCTCAGTATGAATAGAGGTAATACTTATATCTAATGGACTCTAGAGTGAGATACGCATTGCTAGGAAATTTTGAGATATTTGGGTGTATCTGAAACAAGGGAATTTATGTTTCAGCTTGCAGCATAAAAACACAAACAACAAAAATTAATGTGGCTGAAAAATGGTAGTAGTTGGCACATTTTATATTATCCTTTTGTATTCTTTGTTGGTGGTGAATATAGCATCTTTAATCATATTCTCCACATGGATTCACAATGGAAAATTATAATACAATAGGTTTCTTTATCAAATATTAAGCTAATTACCAATCTAGGTGATAGTCACCAGTCTATGTGAGGTAAGTTTCCTACAGAGGACTATCATTTCATCTAAGTAGCTAGATGAGTAGGTGCACCCCCAAAATAGTCTTTTTTTAAATATGTGATGACAAAAAGATCTATTAAGTTTAAATCTCTAAGTCTTACTTTGAAATTGTCTGAACCCATTCTAACTAACCATAAGCAAGTGGATGACACCACATTGCTTAAAACAAATATACCAACTCTTTCCTCACTAACATAATTTTTCATGAAATTAACACAAAGAGAGGATAGTCTACAAGTAGTTTAATATTGGAACATGTGACTCATATTCATCTGACTCTAGTCTCTGTTTTTTTGCTTATTTTAATGTGTGCTCTTATATTTCTGTATCTTGAGCAAGGAACTTTATTAGGCCCTTTAGTAAGCATTTTGCAGTTAATGAATATCAAAACTGAAAAAGCATATAATGAATACTGTTCAAGTTTAAAATGTATTTATATATTGATAGTTGAAAGTGCATATTCTTTTCAGTTCATTCAAAAAGAAGTATCCTTTTTTTCTTAAAATAACATCTTTTTTACATATGTTTAATATATGAAATATCACTATATGATGGGTTAAACCTAATAAGCCATCAAGACACAAGTGTTGCCCAGCCAGTGTTGCTCAGTGGTGGAGTGTTGACCCATGAACCAGGAGATCAAAGTTCAATTCCTAGTCAGGACACATGTCTGGGTGGTGGGCTCAATCCCCATCAGGGGACTTAAAGGAGGCAGCTAATAAGTGATTCTTTATCATCAGTGATATTTCTATTTCTTCCTTTCCCTTCCTCTCTTGAAAATATATAAAAACATTAATAAATAAAAAAAAGATACAAGTGTCACCAAGAGAAATTTTCAAGATTATTTATAAATCTTGTGATCTAGGGCTTTTGAGGTTCCACAGAGAACTATTTAAATGTTTTCCCCAGTTTTCCACCAATAAAAAGTTGAAGACTTTGAATAAGACATTACATAATAGAGACCAAAACTATTATACATGGTTTAACATGTTCACATAGAAACGCTTGGTGAAGGCATATTTTAATTTTCCTTCCCTCCAACAATTCATTCCCAAACAAATTGTTCACTTAGTATGTAAACTCATATTTAAATAAAATATGAATGCTTATAGTTAAATAAAACAGTCCTCACAGAATTTTCTTCTTGAGTGCACACAACCAAATTGCAATTATGCCGCTGTTGAGAATCTCAGGGTGCTGTGTGTTTATGCCATAGTCAATGGATGGAAAATGCTGTCATTATTTCCAGTCTTCAGAACAGAAATAGCCCCCACAGCAGCAGCAGAAGCAAATTTTTTGCTAGTAATGTTCAACTTGATTGAATGTCTCTATCTGAATGGTAATTTTATTAAATCAGTGTTGCAGCACACAAGTCTAATGGACAAACGGCGGTTCAGTGTGAATTCCCCCTGCGATTACCCTCCTAGGAGATTAATACTCTAATTTGTGTTTCACGAGCTTATTATTATTTTAGAATCGTTTTGACTAAAATTTGATAATTCTTGGAAACAAATGAATCCCAGAATTCTTGTTAAGCACAGAAAGCAATAAAATGTAAATTTATTACACTGAATTGGAGCTGCTGGGTATTGTCTGTTTAATTCTTTATTACTTGTATATTTCTTTTAGGTGCTATTAGAATCGTACACCATGGCTGTTAGGTAATAGCCACCCTTAAATTATGAAAATACCTTCAATCAGTTGACAGGATACCTTAAGTCTCACTGATCATACATTAATTTTACTTTTGTGAATGCAGACTACTGCTTTTACATTAACTTACTTAATAATTGCTTTTAAAGCAAAAATGCCACCTATTGTTTATGGTTTAGTTCATTATATTTAAATACCAGACACTGAGCCAATTATTTTTAAAATATTTTATGGTTTTCTAAATGAAAATTGTTAAGATAAATGTCATTAATTTGCATTCTATCCAAAACTATCTATAGAACTGTAAACTACCACAATGTAAGGCACTAGCATGTTTGAAGTTATGTTTAATGGCAGCAAACAAAAAGTGTTATGAATCTACTATAAACTGGTAAAAAAAAAAAAAAAAAAAAAAAAAAAAAAGAGGAAGGATCACAGTAAGTTCAAACATTTAAAGTGATCAATTTGGTCAGTCATTTTAGGAGATCATATTTAAAAACTAATTCTAACTTGAGGTATTATTTTAGTGATTAAAAATTATTTTAGTCTTAATTTGCTTTTCTTATCTTCTCTTTATTTTGTATTTGAACACAATTATAAAAGTTACTAACTCATAGATGCAGTTAAGTGGGTGAGATTAGAAAGAACATGAGTAATTCTAGTGACATTATCTTATTTACAAAAAAAAAAAAAAAAAAAAAAAGAAAACTTGTGAGCAGAGGAAACGGATTTTGAAGAGAGATGATTTTAAGCAAACAGATGGCTCCATGTGTGTCACTCTTTTACATTAAAATTACCTCCTACCCTAACCAGTTTGGCTCAGTGAATAGAGTATCGGCCTGCAGACTGAAGAGTGCCAGGTTTGATTCTGGTCAAGGGCATGCACCTTGGGGGTGTGCAGGAGGCAGCTGATCAATATTTCTAATTCTTTATCCCTCTCCTTTCCTCTCTAAAAAAATCAATAAAATATATTTAAAAAAATACTTCCTCCATAACTTCTACCTCCTGTTATTATATATAACATTATCTATTTCCAATTGTATAACTCTTCATGACCTTGAACCATCTTTCTCCCATATCATCTGCTGTTTAAATCTTGTCATATTGCTCTCACGCATGATTGCAGTCTTTTTTAATTTAAAGGCATTGTATTAAATCACGATCAAGGTATAGACCTATAATATTGTGATTGTGTGAATGTTTCTTTGCAATTCTTTTTCTTTCAACCTTAATTTTGTTTGGGAATAAAGATGTAAGAAACTACTTGCCCAGGAACTAAGGGTAAATGTTGAAGGAGTCAGGTAATACAAGGAGCAAGAGGTTTCCAAAGTTCACAAAACCTTGCTTCAACTTTATTTTCTTTATGCAGAAACTCACTAAGGGATTGTCATTTTTCCGACTTATTATTATTTTATAGCACAGTAAGTTCAAACATTGGTGGGTAAGGCACACGGTAGCATTGGCATATTAAGGTTTTTCATTTGTTGATACCATTAATGGTTCCCACAGACCAATCTCATCCTACATTTAATATTATTATCCTACAAAATATTAAGCAATCTGCTTTGTTAATTGCACAATATAAGTACCTTAATACACCAATGAATCCATAGCTGTTTGACTAAAGTTCTTCTCAAATATGGTTTGTTTAATTACCATTCCAATTAAGCATCCAGTAGACTAAAATTACTGTACCTGTAATAACACATACCAGAATGCTAGGTAAACCTGAGAAATATGCTGGGCTGCTATGGTTGGATGTAGAACAGGGTATCAGATGGGTTGTGCTGAGGCAGATATTTGAGGTAAGCTGGATGATAACAGTAATGCTGCTTATAATGGACTAGAGGCCCAATGCATAAAATTCATGTAAGAGTAGGCGTTCCTTTCCCTAGCTGCCAGCACTGACTTCCCTCTGGCACCTGGGACCTTGGCTTTCCTTGCAGCTCTGGCTTCATGGGGTAGGTCATAAGAAGGGTGTCCAGTCTAATTAGCATATTACACTTTTATTATCTAAATATATATTTAAAAGGCTAATATGCAGAGTGTCCTCTCAGGAGTTTGAATGGACACTAGGAGTTTGATTGCTCGCTATGATGTGTGCTGACCACTAGGGAGCAGCATTACAACAAAGGAAGGAGACCCAGATCAGCCCTTATTGCTGGCCATGCCTAGGGACCCTGCACAAATTTCATGCATCGGGCCTCTAGTTATAGATATTAGATGTTTTTCTTTCTGTTTATGTAGTCCTGCCTCCCATTCACCTCATTCACTTCCTCTTTTCCCTTCTCTCTCTCTCTCTCTCTCTCTCTCTCTCTCTCTCTCTCTCTCTCTCTCTCTCATATATATATATTTTTTAACTTAAAAAGCATTATCTCTGTTATTCTCAATGATTACAATACCAGGATAGGTTCTGGTTCTGCTAAGAAACTCTGGGAAGAGAACAAGAAATGAGTTGTAACTCAAGCCATCATCATTCTCATAATAAAAATGGCATTCAATCCTTCAAAGAAACAAACCACAAACATTACCTCTTTATGGGAATTTCCCCAACCTCACCCCCATGAACACAGACACAGACATGGTCCTGGAGCCTTGTCAATCAGGGTGTCTCAGTCTTGGGAATACTGTTTTATTCTAGTGTGGGCATTTAGTCCAAGCCAAGCCTGCTATAGTCTCCTCCTTGGACTTCGCTCCTTAAACCAGCAAGGAAGAGCTTATTTGGATAGTTGGGAGAAAAGGAGAACTGTAATATAATGGTTATGAAA